GAATATAAAACTATTCTTCATCCATTCATCCATTGATTTCCCCTGACCCTTTAACTGGTTGTTGTTGTGTTTTTTTTTTTCCAAATCTTTTTTAATCCCAAATACCTTGTTTTCATGCTTGAAGCTTTATTTTTAGAATGCTGTCTGGCCTGGATACCTGTGTTCTCTCGAAATTCATATACTGAACTCCAAGGTCCTAGGTAAATGGACTAGGTAAAAGGCTTTGAGAACTTGGACCCTGACAGCAAACTCCTCATGAATGGGATTTGTGTCTTAAGAGGCCCCTAGAGAGCTGGGAGCCCCCAGTTGCCATCTATGACCCTGAAAATGGGTGTCCCCAGACACCGAATCTGCTAGAGCAGGTCCTGAACATCCTAGCCTGGAGACATTTCTGTTATCCACAGGATCTTTATTGTAGCATGCAGTAATGGTCTGAATGAATGCCCCAAAGGGTCAGATATTTGAACACTTAGTCCCCAGTTCATGGTGTTGCTTGAGGAGTGTGATAACTAATCTTCACTGTCAACTTGACTACATCTGGAATCAGCTAAAACCCAAGCAGCTGAGCATGCCTGTAAGGGACTCTTTCCATTATTTGATATGGAAGACCCAACCTGACTCTGAGCCAGATCTTCTGGTAGCAGCTCACTGTAAGAACACGGAAGAAACTTCTGCTTTTTGACTGCTTGCCCTCACTCTCACTGGAAAGTTCATGGAACCTGCAGCCAAGGCATTCCTGCCTGCTTCTTTGGGATTCCAACATACACTAACAACCAGCAGCTCTCTAGCACTCCTCCCAGATTCCAGCACCAGATTGGAACTGCAGAGACATCTAGAGTGGAGGACTGACTACTGGATTCTTGGCCTCTTCATCGTGAGATAGCCATTGTTGCGCTACCCAAGATATGTATCCACTCACTCTGCCAGTTCTGTTACTTTAGAGAACCCTGACTAATACAGAGAGATTTGGGGGTGTGGCCTCCTGGAGATGGTGGGCTTTAGGAGAAAAAGGCCTTGTGCCACTTCCATTCTGCTCGCTGCTTTGTGCCCATGGTTGAGGTAGGAGCGCTCATCTTCCAGATCCTGCCACCAGACCTGCTGCTTGCTGCCATACTTCCTGTGATCATTTGAAGATAATTGCTCCCATAAGCTTAGAGGGAGTGAGGGGCACTATTAGGAAGTGTGGTTTTGTTGGAGTAGGTGAGGCCTTGTTGGAGGAAGTATGTCACTGTGGGGTTGGACTTGGAGGTCTCCTTTGCTCAAGCTTCACTCAGTGTGACACTCCCTGTAACCTTCTGATCAAGATGTAGCCAGCACCATGTCAGCCTGCGGGCCACCATGTACCATGATGATAATGGACTGAACCTCTGAAACTGTAAGTGAGCCACCACAGTTTTGTTTTCCTTATGAGAGTTGCCATGGTCATGTGTCTCTTCACAGCGATAGAAGAAACCCTAAGACACTTCTTCAACCTCATGAGCATTTATCCCTCTGAAACATAAGCCCAAATGAATCCATCCTTCTGTAAGTTGCCATGGTCATAGTTTTTATCACAGCAACAGAAAAAAGCAACTGGTACACTTAGCAAAGGTACTGAGACAGATGCTGCTGTCACACTGTGAACTCTTCAGCGACTTTCTTCTCCCGGGGTCATTTCTATGACTTACTTATGTGTAGGAGGCAGGGAGATCCTTGTGCTCCCAGGTAAGTACTGGGGAACCGTTATTGTTAAACACACAGTGTTGTTTTACAAACAATTCAAAGGAAGAGATTTATAACCTGGCATTCACCACGGTGAACAGCCTGGTGACTTTTGTACTCTGTGAGTGGCTGGGACCATACCAGATCCTCCCCCAGGCCCTTGTTGTGAGCTGGTTTTGCTCAGTCAATCTATAGAACCCATCAAGGTGTCACGTGGGCTTTACAAAGAGTTCCAATGTAGTCCTATCCAATCTTTATCTAGCTAACTTTGTGCTTTATTGTGCGCACAGAATTAGAAGTATTATCACCAGGAAACTTTTACCAATGTGCTGTGCTTCAATATGCCTAAAACAAACTACTTGGAGTCAGAGACACAAATTTTGGACCAACACTAGCTACTAGCAATCCTCCAAGGATTGTTACTCTGCCGGCCATGGTGGTCACAGAGACCCATACACACTCATATAGAGACTGTAAGCTAGTCCACTGTATGTTCATACCATGGTTTATTGATCCAATGATAAAACTACTGGATAGGTAGGTTTGATTGTTTGCCTTTTTTCCTTAATTGAAGCAATTGGAAAGGAATCTAAATTGTGTCTTGGCATATTCATTCAAGAGAGTTCATGAGACTTGATACCCAAGGGTGCATATAAATTTTCAGCTTTAAGATAAAAAATATCTTTTTCTGACAATACCAATTTCACTTCTCTCAGGAATATGTTAGAGATCTTACCAGTTTACATTTTTGTCAGTGACTAATACTTCCACAATTAATCTTTCCAGGTAAAAGATTATAAAACATTTTACTGAGGTATTTTATCAGAGGGCTGGAGAGATGTCTCAGCTATCAAGAGCACTTTCTACTCTTAGAGAGGATCCAGATCTGATTCTCAGCACCCACACTAGGCAGCTCACAACTGCCAACACACCAGCTCCAGGGGATCTGATGCCCTCCTCTGGCCTTTGTGGACATCTGCACTCCAGTGGCATGCACAGATATAGACTAAACATAAATAAAAAGAATAAATAAATGACTACCACAAGAACAATGGGATGAAATGCAGTTGGTAATATGCCTGTTCATTCATGGAAACCCAACACAAGACGGATGACCTTGTTCATCACTGGAAAAGGAAAGAATGTCCATGTGTGAGGATGAGAGAAATTATATCAGTGTTGAGAAAAATGAAGCTGGATCCCCCAATTCACACACACACATAGAAATAGTTCCAGCAGGGTTAAATTGGGGTGGGGCCAGCTGCCAAGTTCTGTCTATTCTTCCAACTGGTTTTTCTCCAAATATTCACACCCTCTAATTATCCCATCCAGTTCGTAGGTGTGGTGAAAAATGGCCCCTTTCTTGTTCTGGAGAATGGATTCTGGGGTATTTTGAGCTCACTCAGGTCCCTCCTGGATATTTAAAGTCTAGGTGACCTGGAGAGAGAGACATCAAGTCACCCTTCTTCCTTCACTGCCCTTCACCTGAAGGCCCTCACTGGCCCCACCCCTCACCACTGGGCCCTGGAATTTGAGGAGAACACAGACCACTGCTCTGTTTCAGGCACAGTTGTGACCCTCTAAATACTGGGTGCTGAATCCTGACCCCTAGAACATCAGAAATGTGACTGTGTTTACAGACACAGCCTTTACAGAAATAATTAAGATTAAAATGAGGTCTTGTTGGTGTACCCTAGTCCAATATGATTGCATCCTCACAGAAAAGGGAGATTGGCACCCAGCTATCCAGAGCAGAGACAACCAACTGTGTGAGGATAACTGAAGAGGCCCCGGGAGAAACCAAAGCTGTCAGCCTCCAGAACAGACAAAACAGATTTCTGTTGTTTACAACCCCACCCCACTCTGTTGTGTGGTGTTGTGGCAACCCAAGTAAATGAGTGCATCATCCCTCCTTATTTCCCAGCAGGACTTAGTGTGGACTGGGGGAAGGGCGACACCGGCCTTGGGGATCCAGATCTGACTACCACACAGAGCGCTGTATTCTCGCTCAACTGGTCTCTCCACCTGTGGTTTCTCCTCCCCACTGTACATAGAATTTATTTATTCTGAACACATCCGGGGTGGGATTTCCCACAGAAATACCTTCGGCTCCCCTGATCCACCTACGCAGCAGGCGCTGAACAAAAGTGCTTTCAGTTAGCACCTAAGTCAGGGTTTCTCAAACATTCGTGCACAGCGGAATTGCCTGCAGGGTCAATTCTTGAACTTCACCACAAAACGTCCTCTTCAGCAGGCCTGGGGTGGAGGCTCCACAATTCACCTTTCCGGCAATCTTCTAGCGGCATCCCCTTCCCAGAAACTACTTACTCTTCTGAACTTGACATTTTGTCTAGCCCGGTCCTGCCAGGAATTCCCTGCTGCCAAGTCTGACCCCACAGTTAGATTAGGAAACCTCCCAACTTAGACTAAAGTTGAGAAATTATGCTATTTTTAAAGGGGAAGCTTTACTGGAATCAGTACCAGGCCTGGAGGCCTCTCCTAAAACACAGCTAGCTATCTACGTGGGGAGGAGGGGTGTTTCAGGGAGAAGAAATGACTTACGGAAGGACACAGCACATAAGAGCAGAAGCCGTGTCCCGCTAGCCCAGGGTGCTTTATCCGAATCCAAGGGGACCCTCCTCTCCCTGCCCTTTCACTCACTCCCCCTTCTTGTGACCCCAGCTGGTCCTTGGCATTTGCAGCTAATGCTGAAATGTTCTCAAGGGACTGTACAACTTGAAACAAATAGTGGGGAAAGAGGCAGGGGAATGAGGACAGGAGGAGCCAGGAAGCTGGGGGCGGGGCCTCTCAAGGAACCTGCACACGTGTACCACCACCATCCCTTCCTCTGACCCGCCAAAGGTCCTGCCCAGGTGAGCCCTCCTTGGAAGGAGCCAACCCCAGGCTTCCCTTCGAAATGACCAAGTGCTTCAGACACAGATGGGTTAGTTAGCTGGTCCGTGAGTGAGTGCCAGCTATCCGCCCCTGGACACGGAGTTTCTGCAAGAAGCCCCGATCCAGCCAAAGCTGCTGCTGTGTACCACCAGGCCAAGCGGTAGAGCTGGAGGGGGGTGGGTGTGGGTCCTAAAGTCTGCTTTGGGACTAAAGTCTGCCGTTCCTAGGTCTGCTGCAAGAAGCACTAGGACTCCATAGAGAACAGATAAGACTAACAGATTGCACAGCTGCTGCAGAGACTGAAGACCCCCCTGCCTTTTCGGGAAAGGTGAGTTAATGCAGTGGAGGACGGCGCTGCTGGAATCAGGATTGGCAGTTGAATTGAAGTTGTCCCAGCTGCTCCAATGTCAGTTGATGAACACCTGGACCCGATTCCTGACAGCTTCATCTTGCAGCCTCCGGCCTTCCACCCAGTGAGTAAGCTTAACACAGTGACTGATCAGCTAAATCCCAACTTGTATGTCAGTGATTGGGCTCCAGGGTCCTCGCCTTTTCAGGGACACTAACGACTAAGGGCAGCTGCTTCTCCAAGCTGGAAGGAAGGGCCTTGGTACCCTCCCAATAAGAGAGAGTGGAAATCCTCCCCCAGCTCCTGTTCAGCGCCCAGGAGACTTTCTGAAGCCCAGCAAAGCTCTACAGAAGGCCAAACTCCAGCAGGCACTACCACTAATGAGCACTGATCACTACCTTCCCCTGCTTGGTCCTTTCCTCCCTAGAGGCCTCCTCCATCACTCAGTTAATTAACACATTCTGCCAAGAGCCTGGGAACTAGAAGCCACTGTGCTGCTGGGCCCTGCAAAGCTGTGGGCACCATGCCATGTGGAGAGCCTGGCCTCTGGCATCTCCCCAGGTGCCTGAGTAATGGGCCGAAGCACCTGAATCCTCCTAGATTCCCATCCTCTTGCTTCACAGGCTAAGACCCACCACCTGGAAGGCTCCTTGGGGTGTGGGTGGAAAGGGACCCATACCCACCCCCCTCCCGCTCTACCTTGAGGTGATCTGGGCTCTCTGATTGCCACTGGGTGTTGACCAGCAATGCATGAAGCCTGGTCCTGTGACACTGCCCCCAGGTTCATCTGCTGGCCTGTGAGCATGCCTTCTGCAGAGCTCCCACTGTGTGCACATATTTGGAGGGAAAGACAGTGAGGCTCCAGTTATAAGGGGCTGTGATCTTAATGAGAAAACAGCTAGCCGGCTCCTCTATGCTGGGGGTCCAGGGTCAATCTAGCATTGTGATTTAAGTGCTCTGAGAACTCAGGAGAGGGAAAGCAAGAATGTGCCAGGATAGAGGGAGAGGAAAGGGCGGGAGACAACAGACCCAGAATAAGGGTTGAAAAGTGTGTGCATACTTTAGGAAGGCCAGAACCCCAGCAGGTGGCTAGTCTCTGTTGGGTAACCCTGAAGAGAGACTACACCAGGGTCGGCATGCTCCCAACTTCTCCATTCTTTTCCCAGCTCCTAAACTATGGACATTCACCAGCCCTCAGACATTTCCTTCCTGGGGGGCAGTGGGTGACAAGCCTCAGTGGGAACACAGCAGCCTGTTGGTGCTCTGATAGGGCAGTGATGCTGGATCAGGCTTCCCCTGGGCATGTGGTTTTGACATCTCTGCCCAAGAAAGGAGAGCTTTGAAAAGAACTGTGATGGTTCATTGGACTAACCACTTGATGGGATGTAGAATTGCCATGGAAACAAATCTCTGGACAAGCCTGTGAGGTATTATCTAGGCTCCATTAACCAAGGTAATGAGAGTCACCTTCAGAGTGGGGTGGCACCATTCTGGGGGCTGAATCCTGGTCTAAATAAAAAGCATGCATCAGGCTAAGCACCAGGTTTTGTCGCAGCCTGAATCCTGACTGTGTATACAATGTGACCAGCTGCCTCAAGCTCCTGCTGCCATGACTTCTGGCATGATGCACTGTACCCTGGAATTGTGAGGCAGAATAAACCCTCCCTTCCCTCAGGTGCTTTGTCGGGGATCTTGTTACAGCAATGACAGAAGTGATTAATCCAGGAATATTGGAGAGAAAACTGGTTGTTCCCTACAAGGACATTTTTCTCTTGAGAGTGTATTAGTTACTTTTTCTTATTGCTGTGAAAAAAAAATACTTAGCAATAGCAACTTAAGGCAGGAAAGGTTTGTTTTGGCTCCCAGCCATTGGCGATACTCCCACCATGGTAGGGAAGGTGGTAGGAGGTGGCCACCCTCACAACTCCACAGTCAAGAATCAAAGACCTTGAATGCTTGTACTCCGCTGGCCTTCACCTTTGTACTCAGTCTGGGAGCAGCCTATGAGAAGGTACTGTCCCCATTTAGGGTGGGTCTTCCCACTGCAATTAACCTTATCTAGAAAACCCCTCATAGATGTTCCTAAAAGTATGTTTCCAAGGCATTTGTAAATTTCATCAAGCTAAAAGTCAACATTAACTTCACCACACCCACCTCTCCACACGGGAGCCTCTGACTCTACCTCCAGTCGGCCCACCTGGTTTCTCTCCCTTGTCCAGGTGGTTCCCTATGTCACAACAATTTTTGGTGGCCTGTATGCAGGCAAGATGGTCATGCTTCAGGGCGTGGTCCCTCTACATGCACGAAGGTAAGGACTAACTAGGGTTTGGTAGAGACCAGATTTAGGGGCATCAATCTGGGCTTCCTCTCTACCTTCAGAATCTCTGTGGGTCTCTGACCAGAAGGACATCTCAAAAGCCACACAACACCCCCACTAGGTTCCAGGTGGACTTCCAGTGTGGGTGCTGCCTGCATCCTCGGCCGGATATTGCCTTCCACTTCAACCCTCGCTTCTACACCGTCAAACCGCACGTCATCTGCAACACCCTCCAAGGTGGACTCTGGCAAAAAGAGGTCCGGTGGCCGGGCGTCACTCTGCAGAGAGGTGCTAGCTTCCTCATCCTCTTTCTCTTTGAGAATGAAGAGGTGAAGGTGAGTATAAAGGATAGGCATCAAATAGTCTAGAACTGGCACCATACACTATCCCTTCTCTTGTCCAGTTTTCCATGGCACTTTGATAAACAGCACTGTAGAGAAGGGGCTAGGGCTGCTCTGGCCCATACGGCAATAAGAACGTCCTAAGGCCCCTGTATCTAATGGCAAGAGGGATCCACTGCATGGTCAGAGCAAGCACTTGGAGGCCTCCTGCTTGCTAGGCACAGTACTAAACCCTTTATGAGAATGTGCCCATTAAATCCCCCCCACAAGGTCTGAGGCGGATATCTTCACAATCAGCTCACAGCTGAGGTGGCAGGAGACAGGGAGAGAGAACTTAATGCCCCGGCTTTGACCTCCAATATGATCCTAATAAAATGATGAGACCTTCAGAAGGCGCTACAGGATAAAGCAGCTGGTGGAAGGGAAATCCTAGCGCATACAAATTTCCCCAGCTTTCTGAGCCTTGGTTTCCTTGCTGTAGATGGGGGGGGAAGGAGAAGGATGACAGCGGTGCTGCTGCTGCTAGTGGTTGCCATGGAGACCATTGCTGTTTGACAAAGTTCCAGCATTTCAACACCTCAGACATTCTCCAGCACCTTTTAACTTTCACTTTTAATGATTCTCACTGTGTGTTATAGGAGTTCCTGTATGCCTTTTCCTTTGGGAAATTTTGTGTGGGCTTTGAAGGCTGAAAATGTATAAAAACGGCAACCTCTTTAAACAAAATAATTCCTAGGAAAAAATGCTCTCTACCGTGTTATGACTCTGCACACAGGAATCCCATTGTGCCCTCCTGAATTTCCTGATTCAAGAACAGGAAAGTTAGAGACTGACTAGACACACCTGACCCCAAGGATGAAAACCTATGATTCAGATCCAGACCCTGAGGCCACTGAGGGCCAGAGTTCAGTTGATAAGTATAGAGGTCAGAGAGGCACAGTGGGAAAAGAGTAAAACACCAGACCTTCCCTTCTGGGAGTGTATGAAGGGAGCAGGCCCATGTGGAAGACTGAGACACAAAGGGACACAATTATGGAACACCTCAGTGCAAATGCTGCTTCATCCCCCTTGAGGAATGAAAATTGTTCTTAAATTGTAATGGAGGGTCTGGTCTCCAGAAGTCCTTTTCCCGAGGTCAGGCATTTTGTTAACGGCCTCCATTCTGTCAGGGGCCTTGCTAGAAAACAGTCATTATCCTTATCTCTGGCATGAGGCCCTTCCTTGGTACAAGAGAGCTACCAGTGGAGTTACTGAACCTTTGAGAACAATAGATATTTAGATACTTGATGAACGTACTTTTGTCTCAGGAAAAATGCTGTAATGAAGTCAATGGCCCTTTTTGCCCTTGAATCATTGAGTCCGCTTTCATTCTTGCCTGTGACTAAACTGTTGTGTGCAAAAGGTGTAGCCTTTTCTCAATAACCACAATGGTAGCCATCCTGATCCACCCTCAGATCTCATCCCACCCCCAATTCCTACCCAACCACCAGAACTCCACTCATCCTCTTGGGACCTGAACCCTGACAAAGCAGGTCCCCAGCAGGTAGTGACAATGATGACAACTCACATTGGCTAAAAAAGGGAATAGCCCTGTCATGGGTAAAGAGGGCATGGACAGTGCTCTGGTCCCAGGATCAGCTCTGCCACCTACCAGCTCCACCACCTTGGACTGATTACAAAAGTTTATCTGTACAAAGCACCTGCCTTGCAGAGTTTGGGGGTGGGGGAGAACAAGTTAAGTAAAACCTAGGGAGGCATGCTTGCTAGTACCTGGGATGGATTCTGCACACAGTGAACAGTGGGCTGCTCTTCATCTGGGCTCTATCTGCTTCTCCAGGTGAGTGTAAATGGACGGCATTTTCTTCACTACCGCTACCAGCTCCCCCTATCACGTGTGGACACCTTAGGCATATATGGTGACGTTTTGGTGAAGGCTGTTGGATTCCTGAACATCAATGTAAGTAAGTTCTCTTGGAGCCAACACTGGGTCAGTGGTGGCCTCTGACTTCCCCTAATCTGGACAGGTCTGGGGCTGGATCTCTCACCCAGACTAAAGACTGAGGAAGGTCTCATATGGTCCAGCTAACTGAGAGAGGGGAAGTGCACAGGGGTGTCAGAAAGGAATGGGGTGAGGAAGAAGAGAAGGTGACTGCAGTGAGGAAGCCCAGGAGCCACAGACAAGAGTGTCCTGATGGTGGAGTCTGCTTGGCACTGAGGGGACAAAGGATTTGGCACATCAGGGTCCGTGCAAGCTTTTAATAGATGGATCCTATCTACCTGATTAGCTTATTCAAAATACAGCTAAATATGTGGCTCAGTGCCCTGACAACAGTAAGGTCCTAGGTTCAATCCCCAGTGCTGCCAAAAGATCCCTGGATTGATTCAGTAAATCTGAGGTGGGGCCGGGAATAAGAATGTTCTACACACCAGCTTTAAAAGGTATGAGAAGCCATCAGGGGCCTACAGTGGCCCCAAAGGCTCGCAGTTCCTTTTTGTTTCTTAACAGCCATTTGTGGAGGGCAGAAGAGAGTATCCAGTTGGATATGTGAGTTTCTTCTATTTTTATTACATTTATTTACTTTGTGTGTGTGGATACATGATGTGTCCTTGTGTGCATAGTGAGAGAAACACGCATGTGTGGAGGTCAGAGAACAGTTTGTCGGGGTTTTCTTCCCCCATGTGAGCCCAGGGACTGGAACCTAGTCTTCAGTCTTGGTGGCTCCCCAGCTGGGATATCTGAGTCTTTGGGGAACAGGGCTGGACAGCCGTGCACAGATGCCAGCTGGCCCCTCTCCTCCCTCACATGGTTGCACAGGGTCCCTTCCCTCACTGCTGTGGGTACCAGGAATAGGCCTGGCCCCCTTAAGCCCCTGAAGAGCCTGGGTTTGCCTCTCCCCCTTCTACCTCCAAGGCAACCTTGGGAAGATGAGTTGGAGGAGTCTGGCTACCTTCAGGGGCCCATGCTTCCCATGGGAAGACACTTTCTATGGAGCTTTAGATTCCCAGATCAACCCTGCAAGGTGGCTGTGGTTGGTGTCACAGGACAAAAATGGAGATGAGACCCATGACCTTGTTGGAGATGTGGATGAAAGCCCCACTGTGTCATTCCAACTCTTCCCCATTGCTCAGAGATTAGGGGTATCCTCAGACCCAAAGGTTCCTCCACCAGGAGCCCAGTCACTCACCTGCTGCTAGGAGAAGCACAAACTGTTTGTGTCCCTCCGGTGCAAGCAAAGTAGGAAGACCTCTTTGCCCAGGCAAATGCTAACACCCTCCCCTGCCTCTTTCTCCCCTTCAGCCCTTCCTGCTGTATAGTCCCAGGCTGGTAAGTGAGCTTCCTGGATCTGTAGTCTCATTGCAGCTCCCTGACTTCCTGGTTTCCCTTTCTTTGTGAAAACTGCAGCAATGGGAGGGTAAGGCAGCTGCAGTTTCATCTCACCCTCTTCACTCACTCTGCATACGGGGTATTTAATACTTCCCAGTGACTGGCCTAGTGCCAAGCATTAGGTTAAGGCTCCATCCAGTCCCAGACCTCCAGTTGCTCATCGATGGCACAGTACCAAACCACTGCATGCCCGCTACATACAGTTCAGAGCACATTTGTGGGAGAAAGCGCCAGGACACAGAGCACAGGCTGGAGGAGCCTGAAGAAGCCCTCATGTGTCTACAGCAGACACTCAGTACATGGGCAGTACTGAGTCTCCTAGCCACAAGCCTCTAGAGAAACTCACCTACCCTGGTGTCCCTGGGTCCCTGAAGGGAGCCTGCTGGTGAGGGATCCTGACGCCCCTGTGATCACCACCTCAGTCATTTCCATTTCTGTCAGGAGGTACCCTGCTCACGCACTCTTCCTCGGGGTCTCTGGCCCGGGCAAGTCATTGTAGTTCGAGGATTGGTCTTGCAAGAGCCGAAAGAGTAAGTGTTTAATTTTAAATAATTTAATTTTAAATACTTGGCAGTTGAGTCCCAAATAGGGGATATGGCCTCTCCTTTGTCACAATGTTTGGTTTAGGGAACAACCAAGCTACCCTACAAAGGAAGTATTCTGTAGTATTTGGGAGTCAGAACCTGTAGGCAGTTAGAAAATGGATGCTTCCTGCCTTCTCCTCCAGTGGACACTCAAACCCAGACCTGTAGCTTAGATCCATTTAAAAGAGAGGCTTCTGTGGCCCCTAATGTCACCCTGATCCCATACAACAGAGCCCTAGACTTGATAAGAGATTCCCTCTAGACACCCATCAAAACTCTGGAGCTGGAGATGGTTCCGAATTTAAGCGCACTCCCAATACAAATGTGAGGGCTGGAGTTCCAATGCCAGCACCCATGGAACAAGCCAGGTACACTCATAACACTAGCACCCCTGGAGACAGAGACAGAAGGAGTGCTGGGGCTTGCTGGCCTCTAGCCTCACTGAGAAACTGGAGCTCCAAGCTCAGGGAGAGAGCCTGCTTCAAAGGAATAGACGAAAGAAATAGAGGAGGACACCTGACACCCTCCTCTAGTCCCTGGTGCACGCGCGCGCGCGCGTGCGCGTGCGCGCACACCCACACACACACACACACACACACACACACACACACACACACACACACACACACACACACACGTAGATGCTGTGCTATATAATAATACTGTCTAAGCAAAGAATATCATTTTCATACTCACTTACTATTCTACACAAGCAACTTACATGTCCTTTTGTTTAATTCTAACAAGCCAAGACGAGAACAGCACTCTTATCCTTCCTAGTTTGCAGATGAGGAAACACACAGAGATTAGGTGACTCATCGAAGGCTGAAGCTCTGAAGCTACAGAGCATAACCCATGCAGCCTGGTCCTTACCACTAAGCTTGTTGCCAAAGCATTAAGCCACAACCTGACACAACAATAAATGTTACCTGCTGCTCTGATCAAGCTACCCCTGTTTTCAGGGGAATAAACTGAGGTTCCAGCTAGGTAATTGCTCTGCCCCCCTAGTCTTCCAGCCAGGGATTCAAGTATGATACCCATGTGCTGTCTACGCCTCTGTGCTGCTATACATCCAGGTGTCCTGCCCAGAGCCTGACACAGAAACTTAATTCTTGGAAGCTATCCGATCTTCCAGTGGCTCTCCTGCCTCCAGCCTTCAGAGATACAGCAGCCTGAAGGCAACAGGCTGATTCACTTCTCTGCCTGCTTCCTGTAGTTTCACCCTGAGCCTGAGGGATAGGACCACCCATGCTCCAGTGACAATCAGAGCTTCCTTCACAGACAGAACACTGGCCTGGGTCTCCTCCTGGGGACGAAAGAAGCTGATCGCAGCCCCCTTCCTCTTTTACCCCCAGCGATTTTTCGAGGTAGGTCTGAGCCAATAGTCACATCTCTTCTTGAGCCTATTCCCATAAGTGATCTGGAAGACTTTGTGCTGGATCCTGGGATGGATCAACACCCTGGGGCTAGGTAGCCAGAGCCAGCCCTGCAGGAAAAAATGTTCAGACATTGGCTGTCAGTCGTCTATACTGATGCCAGAGATGCTGGGCCCAGAAATACAGGCATCATGAATGCAGGTAGACCCAAACATCAGTTATCTTTAAAAGCTCCCCTAAGCTTCTAAAGGCCAGGTGTGATGGAGCACACCTGTAATTCCAGTCCTTGGGAAACTGAGGCAGGAGGATCAGGAGTTCAAGGCCAGCCTCAGCTACATAGGAAGCTTGAAGCCAGTCTGAGCTACATACATGAGACCTGGTCTCGAGTTCCCTTTATGAGAACATTTCCCAGTGGAAAGCAAGCAGCATTGCAGATGGTGAACTTTAACCCCTGGACCTGACTGTCTCTGATCACTGTGTCCCCTCAGTGGAGGAAGATCCCTATGGCAGTACACCAGGGAGGGTCTTTCTGGAAGCCTGCCACCAAATCAAGCTATTCTTACCAGGTACTGCTTCTATGCCAGGAGGGAGGGCTGAAGCTGGCACTCAATGGGCAGGGGCTGGGGGCCACCAGCCTGAACCAGAAAGCACTGGAGCAGCTACGGGAGCTCAGGATCACTGGAAGTGTCCATCTCTACTGTGTCCACTACTAAGGAGGGCTCCAAGGGCACCCCAATCAGAGAAGAGGAAAGACAGCTGTAGCCAGGGCCCCACAGTACAGCCTCACTTGCTGTCCTCATGGGACCAATGACCCATCATCACCATGTCAGGCCTAGTTCACATCCAGGTCACAAGCTTGAGTCTGCAAGGGCATCAGGGCCCCAGGGCTAGGGGAGGCTGACAGTTCTGTACCTCCTCTACCAGGAGCTTGGTGTCCCAGTTTTTCTAGACTATACTCAAAGGGGACAAATTTTATAACTCACAAAGACACACACGAGCACACACACACACACACACACACACACACACACACACACACACACACACACACACTGCATTTTAATCTGTCAATTCTGAAAACAAGGGTCCAGGTCAATGTGGTATCTCTGCACTTGTCTTCAGCATCCAACTCTGTCTTGGTCCTCAGTTCACCACTCCATGGCGCCTTGTGGCTGGAACTCTATCCAGGCCACTGAGAAGGCAGGTAGAGTGTGAAAGATGAGCCCCAGGCCTATGAACAACATACCATCTACACTCACATTTCCATCCACATGCAAATTTTATCTACAGGCGTTCAAAAGTTTGGGAAGACTTTGACCAAAGTGACAAATACCACAGTTGCTTGCTTGGCTTGGGCCAGAGGAAAATAGCCACACCCCAGAAAAACACACTGATAATGGGACCACATTTTAGTCACCCAACCATGTAAACAACATTAATCTCTCATAAGATTTTAATATTGTCTAGATAGGTCAGAAGCCATACCATTTATGTTTGTATAATAGACCCTGTGATGTTCATACAGTGGCAAAATGTCCTAACAATGAATTTCTCAGAATTTCTCCCTGTCATAAAATGATACATGACTGTAATTTAGCAGAGTGAGTAGACCAGGAAGAAAGGAAGACTGTAGAGGGTTTGACTGGACTAATCCTGGAAATAAAATCGGCTTTCACCTGAGAATGGACTTCAGATTGTATGTCCTGGAAATGTTTCTGTAATCCCACCTACATGCCAAATCACGGGGTGGAAGATGCTGGCAAAGCAGTCCATAATTTATAACTTGATACTCTAAACAGAGCCATTTTCTTCCCTTGTCCATTTACCAAGATTGATCATACATCTATCATGAAAAAAGTCAATAAATACAGGGAGGGGAGAGCTTTTTCTGCAAATATGCCTTTATCCAGGGAACTAGAAGTCAGAGAGAAAGATGGCTGAGAGGCAACCCCTAGACACCAAGGCCCTGGATTCTGGGAAGAATCTGGGTCAAAGAAGAGATGGCAGATTGGTAGGTTGAGGTAGAGGGTGTGCAGTTTTCATGGCAGAAACAAAAGGCAGAAGACAGGCCACTTATCGAGGAGCAAAGCCTCTGCCTGCTCTTACATACCTCTTATAGCTTTAAAGTAAGCCCTGGAACTCTGTTGAGAAATTCTTTATTCTCCTTACAACTTTTCTCAGCCCTTTATTATATACCCACAATTATTTTTTTAAATAAACTTAAGGACTGGAGAGATGTCTCAGTAATTAAGAGCACTGGCTGTTCCTCCAGAGGATCCCGGTACAATTCTCAGCATCCACATGGCTGCTCACATCCATCAATAACACCAGTTCCAGAAGATCTGATGCTCTCTTCTGGCCTCTACAGGCACTGCATAAATGTGGCACACAGACAAAACACCCACATAAAAAAGGAAAATTAGCCAGAGGTGGTGGTGGCTAAGGCCTTTAATCCCAGCACTCAGGAAGCAGAGACTGGCAGGTCTCTGAATTTGAGGCCAGCCTGATCTACAGAATGAGTTCCACACAGCTAGGGCTACACAGAGAAACTCTGTCTCAAAAACCCACTCCCCAAAAAAGAAAGAAAAAATTTTAAAATAAACTTGTCAGCTGCCACACATATATATTTCATGATTTACACTAGCACCTCATGATCACTTATTGATATAATCATATTTACTTATTTAATCTACTAATGAAATAAAATATATTGAGAGAACTCTAATATACTATCTTAAAATTTTGGAGTAAAATTTATTTGGTGTCGATGAATATTAATAAACACATTGTGCATTTTATTCACTGACATTGTAATACAATGTATTACTTTGTATTGAAAGACCCCCGCGGAGGTACTTTCGTAGAAGGAGACCCGTACCCAGGAATCAGCGAGACCACGAACTTGGATGCAAACTGCAAGAGGCTTTATTGGAGACACGGGTACCCAGGGCGACTTAGCTTCTGTGAGGCCAAGCGCGCCAAGCCAAGGGAGAGGGGTCCTTATATAGCAAAAAGCGCAAGCGAGAAGCAGGGATTCTATTGGATAATTCAAATGAGGCGCAGTACAGAGCTATTCCCATTGGTCAATGTAAATGAGGCGCTACACAGGGTTATTCAAATGAGGCGAAGTACAGAGTCATTTCTATTGGACGGTTCAAGTGAGGCACAGAGCCATTCCAGACCAGCATATTCTCAAGGTCTGGTGTCTGGTACAACAGACTCAATTCCCCCCTCCGCGTCCAGATGGC